CAGTAGGTGCCGCTTAATGTGATGTTTGTCTGTGGTTATTTTGATAACATTAACTGAATGATGTATTAAACAATGAGAATAAATAACCTTAAAATAGATAGAGAATTTATTTAATTTAATAATTAGAAATGTATAAAGAAGCATTTTAACTAGGAAAATGCAAAAGTTTGTTTATAAACTCATCATAATGTGTTTAATGCAAAAGTTTATTTATGAACCAATCATAATGTTTCTAGAAATTGTTTGAGCAATACTGTACCCCTGTTCTTAATATTTGGTGGGCATTCCTCACTAGAAGAGAATGCGCCTCTTGAGAAATAGGGACTAGTGTCTGATCCCTTCGAAATTAATAGTTATTAAAATTTGTCAAACTAAGAATTTTTTTAACGCAATTTTAAATACTTGATTAAAATTGAAATTAAGATGTTTAGTGGCTTAAACTCTTTTTTTTTTTTTTGGCAACATTTTTCTCTAACTTTGCAGCTTTTATAATGCATTTTAAACTACTTGGTGACTGTATCTTTTTATTTGATTGCTTTACTTCAATTTAAGAAATTTTTTATGATATTTTGATCATCTTAACAAAATTGTTGACCACAGTAACCGATTTGCATGTTCCACATTTTCATATACAAAAATATCCGAATGATAACATTATCCATGGCACATTAAGCAGTGTCTAGTGTATTCTATAATCTTTATTACATGTTACAGAATAAATGCAACCAATAGTCTAGCATTTATCGAATATGATAATTTCTATATTAGTGATCTGATAAAATAATAAATAAAAGAGTTTTTTTGGCAGAAGTTTCATGATTAAGAGAGACAAGTCATACATAATCAAAATTACTCACTTTTATTGAATGATTCTTCTTTAATATGTAAAATTTTTAACCATAAAGTAGTGGGAAAACAAGTCAGAGAATGTCTCAGATTTTGATAGTTGGATTGTATAAAGAGAAGTTATAATTTTACTGTTATATTGTCTCTTATTGATACAATTTGCAGTAACTTCTGAAATTCTTACTGTGGCATATAGTCTTTTGGGCCACTACTAGAATGAAAATAGCTATTGCAGTAATAATGTAGAAATATCAGTATTCTCCATTCATATAATTCTGCAGTTATTCTCTTTATTTTATTTATTTATTTAAAAAATATTTTGCCACCTAAATGTGATGAGAATAACTTGAAATTTCTATAGTTTTGACCTTGAGTTTCAGTATTTTAAATAAGTCTTTTTTGTGTCTGTATTGTGTATGAGATTTAAATTTGATGTATGATGCTATTAATATTATACATACAGGCATTAATGCTTTATTAAAACTTTGTTTTTAGGTCTTCATTACTTTAGTAATTCAAGTGAAAATTATGCTACATATATTGAACAGAATTACACTACAAGAACTAAAGTCACCTTTCATTCATGTACCTTTTGTTCATATGTTACTCACAACAAAGGTGATTTAACAAAACATATGCGAAAACATACTGGTGAACGCCCATTTTTATGCAAGACTTGTGGAAAAAGTTTTACACAGAAACATAATTTGGTGTCTCATTCATTTTCACACTCTCAAATAAATCCATATGTATGTATGATATGTGGCAAGGCCTTCCGAACAAAGGCTAGACTTAAATTCCATATTAATTATCATCTAGAAAACTCTTCTTCCTAATGTTTAAAATTAAGCAATACAGTACAAAGTCGAGATCTAGAATCATTGGGACTTTGATTACTTCAAATTTTGGAAATTTCTAGATTTTAGATCATCAGTTTAAATCTAGTGAGATGACATGCAGAAGTAGCAACATTGGGACTTCATGTTTTGTTTTGGTCAGCTAGAAAAATGCTAATTCCACCATCCACTTACTCACATAATAATTGAAGACTGAAATGTGATCCTGGTCAGCATCAAGCAATGTCAATCATTGTTTTATCATTGACCACAGTGCCGCTCACTAACCTGTAGTTGTTTGAAAATGATACGCAAGAACCTTTGTTAGTTACATTTATGGCACACTTGCTTTCTTTTGTGAGTATTATTACTATACTTTGTAAGTGAAGGTAGATTTTTTTTTCCTATATTATACAGTTTTTTTTTTTTTAGCTGGTAGTCCAGTGGTCCATATATTTGATCATTCCAGATACTAGTCATCTGGATTTCAAACTTTGTACTGTATAGCTAATTAATAATAATAAAGTACATTTATATGTAATTAATGATAATAAATTAGCATTATTTGTTAATGAAAATAACTATAAGTAATCATTGTCACTATGTAATGTGTATGCTTCTCATTATGTATTTCATGTACAAGGAAGGCAAAGATTATTATTATAATAAAATATAAAATTTAAACTCTTTAAAATTTATATTAGTTGCATTTAAAAAAGTATATTAAGAAATTTTAATTTATATGTATTTTCAAATATCAGTATAGGATTTGAAGATAATGGCCAAAAGTTATTTGTGTAATGTATAATGTTTCATAACTCAATGATAAGCTTGTTTTTGTTTGCTGTATTTTATAACCATTATTTTGTAATTAAATGAGCTTTAATAGCATAAAAGAGGGTAGACTTTATTTAACAAGAATTTTTAATATAAAATAACTAAAAATTTATGAAAGCTTTATCAGATCAATCAGCTATCTTTTCCTTTTGGGGGTGGGTACAGTAAAGAAAAAGTATGACACCGTTCCATGATACCTATGTTAGATAGTTATGTATAATTCCCTCCATTTTACCTTACTGTTACTTGTGATAATAAATAAAAGATAAATATGAAATGTGAAATTGTGAAATATTAAATTTGGTAAATTGATTGTGTGACCTGAAAGAATTTGTGTATAAAATTTTTTCTGTGTCTGGTAATTCAAATACAGTCAAAGTCGTTAATCCAGAATGATCTATAATCCGGACCTCAAAGCTACAAACTTTCTGCGCATGCGTCAAAGCAATAATGCATTCACGCATGCGCATTTAATGTATAACGGATGGTATAAGCTAAGCTAAAATTATCTAATTATCTATTTCAGTTAATGTTGCAGATTATGTTGTTCCTTAACCTTCGAATTCTATCCAACTTATTATTTTTTTGCAGACTGTTAGAGCAATTTTATAAAAGTAAGCTTGAACTTTCGATTATGTCAAATAGAATTTCCGATGCTGGAGCTACCAAAGGATCTGCAAAGCGAAAGCATGTTTCGATGTCCATCAAAAAAAAAAAAAAAGTGGAATTGCTGCAAAAAATGGATAAAGGCATATCCTTTGTTTCTCTAACCATTCCGAAATCTGTTTATCAATTTCACACTGCTCTGCGGGAGGGGGGGGGGACATTGTGCCGCGCAATGAACTGGAAGTTGATCTGTCAGCACTATTCTTATCTTCAGGGCAGATGTTTTTATTTTATTCAGCTTATAATTTCTTACTAAATGTAGTATTTCATCTCGATGTATTTCATCTTTGATATGATTTAAATCAAATTCCTCGTCATTATAAATATCACGAGTACACATCAAAATGGTTTTCTGGTTGTGTAATGTATGCTTTACGCATGCGCGCACTGAAAGAAATGTTTAATAAAGTAAACTAATAAATATTAAGCTTTTTTTTTTGTAAATTTTGATACCCTTTAGATCATAATTGCTCTTTATTTCATAAATTATGGCTTCATATTTTTAATTTTATAATTTCTGCTCGCCATCTTACTGGATTTAAACTGATGATCTATAATCTGGAATCGCGGAAATCCCGACGAGTCTGGATTAAAGACTTTTGACTGTATTCAAGCATTGTGATAGACTGCATGAATTTTTTTGCAGAGTATTTCCCCCCTTTGAAAATGGATTACTTGCTCCTTCCTTTGTATGTATATTTATGCTATGTAATCGTATGAAATTATCTTAATGTAATATTATTTGATGAATGATCAGACAGAAAATTCATAGAAAACAACTGTTAGTACCTTAGCATATTTATTGTTTACTTTTTATCTTAGCAAACAAATTCTTTAGAAATGGGAAAAATATGGAGTATGTATTTAGCTATCAGTGTATATTTATTGGATTTTCAATTAAGTCCTTACCTACCTACCTATCGTCTGAAGCATTCTAGAGTTGCAAAGGCTAATTTCTGCTTGTAAATTGTAGCTACTATGTGCTATCAATTACAGATGTTTATAATGCTCATAGTGTTGAATTGTAGAAGATAGGATTTTTGTTTAGGAAATACCTAAGGCAAGGTAGGAGAAATTTTAAAGTTTTCGAACATTCTTTATTTAGTACGGAAAGACAACATTTGCACATAACTTGTAAACAGGTAATGAGGTAATAAACATAAATAAGGTAAAAAAAAAAAACTTACAGGGTTTTGATGTAGTATATATTTGATTTAATAATGAAATATTTCTGTAGTGAATGTTAAGAATGTATATCATGAGCTATATCCTTTGCTGATGTCTATATTGATGACTTATGATTGTGTATATCGTGCAGATCAGTACTGTGTAATAGAATTATTTAACAGTTCTCTTTCTTTGGTTCTTTACCGTTAATAGGTGGTGATATTCTGATTCTGGGGGTTCTGTCTTCAGATGCCGAGCTTGTAGGTAGTGCGGTAGTTACTCTTGAATTTTTCTGATACTCACCCAGTCCCGTAGGCGGTCAGTAATTCTACTTTTGATAGATCAGTTAAGTCGAAATGTCCTTCTTCAGGGCAGAGGGAGATGAGACGGACGATGGTGAGCTCAGTGAAAAGAGTTCGGTCAGCTCACACCAAACGAATAGGACTTTTCCTCTAAGAAAAGAAAACTTCTTGCATTCACCTAAGGAAAAAAGGAATAAGAAGAAGCGGACTAAAACGAATTTGGAGCCTTTGGATTTAGTTAGTGGAACTGAGAAACCCGAGCCAAGGATATTTACTCTTTTTTTCAAACGTTAATGAAGCTATTGTAAAACTGATTGCTCATATTAAGAAGTACGGACGGGAAAAGATGGCAGAACGTATGAATGAGCCTATTGAGCAAATTATGATGGGGCAAGCTTTGGAAATAATGGAAGAACAGGAAATGGCAAAGAGGGAACAAGCTGAAAAAGAGGGGAAAAGTGCTCATAGTAGAAGGCAAGTGGATCTCGCCAAAGAAGACGCTGAAACCTATTGGTAAAGATGAGCCGATGGAAGTTTCTAAAGAAAACAGGTTTGAAGCTCTTAATCCTGATGAAAAGCAAGAAGTAGGAGGAGTCAGCGAAGCGAAGGAGGTGCCCCCACCCATAGCAGCATGCCGTTGATTGGTTGAAAGTGCACAAACTGCTAATAGAAAATTGTGAAGAGAAGTTCGAAGCAGATATGAAGTTTAGATCCATCTATTTTAATGTGAAGAGTGTTTCTGATTACAAAAAAGCAACTGCTGCTCTGCAAAGAAAAGAAGTACCGTATCACTCCTTTCAGTTAGCGAGTGAAAAGTCACTGCATGTGATGTTGAAGAACCTCCCCAATACAGTGACCGAAGAAGCTGTAAAGACTGATTTGGAAAGATGCAAGTTTCCAGTGCTTAAAGTTAAGCAGATAGTGAAGGGCAAAGCGAGCAATTTTGAGAAGCTGCTGTTTTTCATAGTTGATCTGAAGAAAAATGCTACAGGATATGCCATCCATCAGCTAGACAACGTGTTCAGTGTGAACATCAAAGTGGATAAGTTCTCTCCCAGGAAGCGCCCACTTCAATGTTATTGATGTCAGCAGTTTGGACATTCCCAATACTTATGTACCAACCCAGAGAAGTGCTGTAAGTGTGGAGGAGGTCACCGTAGTAATCAGTGTATGCTAAAGGAGGATGATAAGCCTACCTGCCTGTTTTGTAGGAAATCGCATGCAAGTTTATATCGTGGTTGCCCTGAGTACAGGAGGAGATTCAAGAAAAAATAGCTCACTCGGAAACATTACTTTCAGAAGTAGCAGATGAAAGTTCCGACACCTGAAGACTTCCCACAACTTACTAAGCCTGACGTTTAGGAGTCTGAAGCAAAACCCACTTACAGCTCTAGAGCCAAAAGGAAAATACAGTCGCTACCTGAAGAGATGATTGTTGCAATCAACTGGTTGCAAGATCCAAAAATTAGGAGCTTCCTTAGCACGGTTATCGAGCATATTGAGAAGATGAGCGCAGATAAAAACACAGCTAAGAAGATGATAGCTGGATTCCAGGCAGCTTTAGCTATGATGAAAATCATAGAAGAAAATTAGGTTTGCAACTGCTTAGTTAGGACTCTGAGGACTATTTCTGTACATCTTAGTAGGCTTCATTGTCATGATCATGGACAAGGTCCTTCACTTGTTCATTTGGAAGTATTTGCTTCTCATGTTTGATTTATGTGTTGGTTACTTTATGGCATAATTTGAAACAACTTAGCCATTCTACAAGGGTTCTCGTTAACCCAGGTACCCTGATGCTACACCACTCCACTGGACCGCTTTAATAGGTGGCAGTAGAGAAAAAGTGAAATTGGATTATCATTACATTTAGTGAGACTTTTTCTTGTCTATATAGTCTTTCAAATGCAGTATAATTGAGAATATTTTTCATGTCTGCAACTTTATGCAGTGTTAATAGTTTATTCTAAGCAGATATTGCTGAAAAAATAGCTTATTAAATTATTAGTTTGGCATTCTTTTGGACAGTTCTTTATGACAGAAAGATAAAATCTTGTTTTAAAAAGTTAGTAATCCAAAGAAATATCAAAAATTTTTTAATGTATGTTGGTTTTTATTTCATGTGTAAGGATCTAAATACTTTTGTAAACATTATTTTTCACTCTGACAAAAATATTATTTATTTATTGTGCATTTTAAATGTTAAGTTAATTGTTCTTACAAAAAGCATTAGTTTCTGATCACTTTATAAGCACATCCTATTTCTGTAGTTCAGGAATGCTTCAATTAAAAGTTAAGGAAATGTGTATGTTTCAAGTGTAAACCGTATAATTATAGATAGGGAGAGAGGTTAGGTTTTTATTATATTTTTAGACAGTTTTATCTGCAGAAGTTGCCTTCAGCATCATATAAATCAGTATGTTATAATGACACATTACAGACATTTTATTTCATAATGTATGTTTGTATTACATAAATTAACAGTCATGTTCATTTTTATTGACTTCCTAAGTAGCTTAAATTTAGTTTGTGAATAATAATATGCATGCATTTCATTTTAAAGCACTAAATTAAAGTTTTGATTTTTGAACATTGTTTTAAATATAATATCGTTGTGTATGTTAAGAAGACTCTAGATTATCCATATTGTGTATTTCAGCTTTGTATTACATGTGTAATATTCTACTGAAATCAAATTTTTAATGTACTTTGAATAACTGAGTATAAATGCAAGTAACTGCTATAATTAATCCTTAACAGTATTTTAAAAGTCTTCAGGGATGTTATAAATGCTGCTTTGGTTGAATGTGACCAAGTTAATTAATTATATATGTAATTTTAGTTTTGTATTTTCTTATTTTGTAAAGTCTGAAATATCGAGATTAAAAAGTTCAGATTTGTAATTAATTTGTTGAATACAATTAATTAAAAAAAAAGCATGTGAAAGTTTTTTTTTTTTTTTTTTCTTTGTGATAAAATCACTTTTTTCATTGTGTTAGATTTCATCATTTACTGGTACAAGGTACAAGAAATTGGTAATCAAATACTCTATGAAAGAAATTTAACATCCTCTCTTCTTAACCCTTTTTGTCACGCTACCTTTTCAAGTCGGAGTTTTGATAAAAAAATAAATAAAAAAAAAAGGTAGGCAGTCTAATTAGGCCTAGAGGAGTACACAAGTAAAACTTTGTGAAGATAGCACTTATTGTTTTAATTCTGTGTGTGTGCCCAAAGTGGCACACTGATTGAATAGAGCTTCGAAAAGAGTGCTGAAACGAGCATTGTTGTCAATGAACTGACCAATGAGATGCGGAGAAACAAAGAATACAGACTCTCAGTTGTCTTAGATTATCGGTGAACCGTTTGATTTTAGGCAAGATTTCAAGGTAAAAATTTAAAACTAATATAGAATAAGCAGATTAGCATACAGCCAAAAAAATAACATGAAAATTTCTTTTCAAACAATTCCTTTTATACCTTAAAAAAAATCTGGAATATTTCTTTGAAAAATGAGGGTCTTAAACAACTAAACATGGCTAAAATATATGCACTGGTTTGTGTTGAGCTGCCATCTACTATAAATAAAGAAGTTTCAGAGTAACCTATAAATCTTTTTCTATTCAATTTTTCTGTGCGTACAGAAGGAAATTTTAAGGTGTGTCCAGACTGGACACACTGTGCCGCAAAGGCTTAATTTATGTACAGAGAATTTTGGTGTGTTTACAGACCTTTGATTTATTATCTCTTTTCTTCAGATCTGTTCTCATTTCATTAATTTTTGCACTTTCCTCATGCTTGTCATTTTGAATAATTTGTCTTTTTTATGTCTTGGTGGCATTTTAAAAAATAACATATCGTTTTACTTCCGGTTCCTCTTTTCATGTCATGATCTTTTTTTCAAATAAATCAATAATAGTAAAGATCTTCACAAAAGAGTGGTGTGGTGTATTTAATTACGGCAAAGCACACTAGGGCTATCTGCCAAAGGGGAGGAATGCCTTTCGTGGAGGACTTTCTAAGGGAAACTGGCTCGTATACACGTTACACATGGGGGAAACCACGAAAACACCCATGCAGCCAGCCCGTTCGCGGGATTCGAACCTCGGACCGAACTACCAGTGTTCAGCGACTTTACCGCTCGGCTGCTGGTGGGCCCCTTCACAAAAGAGTAGCATATATATGCATTAATATTATAGTGCTAAGCAAAATGAGTGACTTTATGTATATAATTATATTAATGAAATGAAAATACTCCTGTAAAAATTGCAAATTTAGCCAAATCTAGGAATTTTAGTTTGAAGTCACAATCAATTCCAATAAGTTAATTAATTTAAGTACAAAAATTTAAAAGAATTTTTTTAAAAAAAAACCAAAATTTTTTGAAGAAAATAAACGTGAAGTGATAAAAGAAGCAAAAAAAAAATTGCGTGTCAAGCATTAGCCGATAGTGGTAAAGCAAATTCAAGTTAAATGCAAACAAAAATTTTAGAAAAATTACAGAAAATTGAACAATTGGGAAGTTAGTAAGACATCAGGGGATTTTTCAGGCCTATTTTATTATTTTAAATATGACACCACTCATTTAATTGAATATTTTCATAATATCGGTTATTTTTCTTTTAAGAATTTTATGTACTTGTTTTATTTACATGTTCTGATATCACGAATTGATTAGGTACTTGCATATTTTTCTAGTGTTTTTTACGTTTTTAAATTACCATATTAAAATGTTTTCCATCGTATAGAGGAATTCTTGAACATGCATATTGAGTTTGCTAATTTTTGGTACATTGATAATTAAAATGAATAAAAATGTTATGAAAAATTTTTTAGATTACGTATTAGAAGGGTGAAACACGATCTCTGATCAATTGGGGAGAGTGTGAGGTAAGCTAATTCCCTTTGATGAGTCAGCACTATCGCATTAACTTTTCAATTGTTCATTTTTCTGTAATTTTTGCAAAATTTTTGGTTTTAATTTTCATTTCAATTGAATTTGCTTTACCACTACTGTTAGGTAATGCTTGACAGATAATTTTTATTTTTGCTTCCTTCTTCACTTCATATTTATTTTTCTTTTACAAATTTTCATTTTTTTAAAGTATTATTTTCAATTTATTTATTTTCAGTTTTTTTTAACTGGTACTTAAATTACTTAGTTGATTGGAATTGATGTTGACTTATTGATTGGAATTGATGTTGACTTGGAATTTAAATTCCTAGATTTGGCTAAATTTGCACTTTTGATAGGAGTATTTCCATTTCATTAATTTGATTATTAATTAAATCTTTGCAACCAAGGCGCAGAATTCTAAAATAGTCCTACCTTTTTTTTGTTTATGTTATTATATATATACTTGAATATTTTTTCAGTTATAATCATTGTAATATATTAGAGATTTTACTTAGAGATTATTTTTTGGTAGTTATCAATTTGTTGGATATTTCTTTCTTGTTGTTAATAGCATATTTTTTATTTCTTCTTTCTAAATATTGAAAATTAAATGATACAT